CATGATTATGACCTTCTCGCCTCGGCGTTTTGGGGCATCCGTCTTGCATGCATTTGGGAGGCCTCGTGGAGGTCTCTTGGGAGCCTCGTCTTGGGAGAATCTTGGGGTCCTCCAGGGGCCTCTAGGGTACCTCTTGGGGCCGTCTTGGGGCACCCTTGGGAGCCTCGGGGGCCATCTTGGAACCATCTTGGTGGAGATTGTCATGCCCCAAGAGGGGGAGTATGGATGAGGAACCAGAGAAGGAGGGGGAGGAGGAAGGGAGGACGGAGGAAGGAGGGGGGGGGGAGTGAGGAGGAAGATATGGCGGATGAGGAGGAGGAGGAAGAAGAAGAGAAGGAGGAGTGCTGGTGGAGATCGATCAAAAGGGGGGCTCCTTAATTGGGGTCCCCCCCCAGGAGGTCACAATGCGACATCAATGATTTTGGCCTTCTCGCTGGGCCTTGGAGGCATTTTTCGGGTCTCTTGGGGGCCTCTTGGGGCCTCCTGGGCACCTTTTGGGGGTCGTCTTGGGGGCCATCTTGGAGGAGGAGATCGATCAAAGGAGGGGCCGTAGTAAGTTGGCGCCCCCCTCCCAAGTAAGCCAAAGTGTGTCCGAAACCTTCTGCAACATCAAAGATTTTGGCCTTCGCGTCGAGGCCATCTTGGACGCCCCAACGCGTCGCGGAACGCCCAGTCCAGGTCCAGGGGGAGGGAGGGGCAGAGGCAAACTTCTCCCCAAAAGGGAAGAAGGGGGTTGGAAGAGGAAACGTTCTGCACCACTCACGCCCTGAAGGGCTCATGGGACATTCCGGTCGGAGCAGCGCCAAGGGAGGGGTCCGGAGAGCAGCGGCATCAGTACCTCCCGGTCTCCCCAGGTCGCGCTCCCCAGAGGAGGGCGGGTTGAGACGAGGGCAGCCATCGGTGGTTGAAAGCGGGTATTTCTGGACTCCCCGATCCCAATCTGCTTCGAGCGCATTCCTACTTTGAGAGTCGAGTGGCGTTCCCTCTTCCCTCCTCGTCAGGAGGCGGGCGGAGACCCATCCTGCTTTCAACGCCTCCCTACTGCATGGTTCTGCCTGCTTCTCCCGACCGATGGGTGTGTAGTTGGCCCTCGGGGGAGCCCCTCGTCGCCACGGCCAGGCGCAGCTCGGAACGCTGGGGCGTGTGGACCCCGGGAGGGCTCCGTGGACCGATCTCGAGCTGCCGCTGCCTCCGCTCTCTCTGTGCCTCCCCGATCGTGTCCGAGCAGGAGGGGTAGGAGGATCGCGCCGGATCGCCGATGCATCGGCGATGCGGTTGAGGTGGAGACCAATTTTCTGCACGCCGACGGCGCCGATGCATCGCCGACGTCGCCAGTGCATCGCCAATACATCACCGATGCATCGCCAGTGCACCTGCGATGCGGCGCGAGCCTCTGACCGCATCCGCTCGGACCCCATCTAGGAGGACTCTACAGTCGACGCGCCTAGTAACGACGCGCGCCTTCAGCTAGGGTACCCTTCTGGCCTCGCCTCTGTGGCCCGTCCTTTGCCGTTTTCACTGGTCGCCCGCCGCCCAAGAAATTCCAACTTCGGCCTCCAAGGGTCTTGCGTCCTTGCCACCCGTCCTAATCCAGCCGCCAAATCAAAGGTATCTGGGTGTATTGTGTCTCTCGTGACCCATGCCTCCTACATTCCCATGGCAATGTGGCCCTCGCAAGGGTCTTGTGTCTGGGGAACGAAAACTGGCATAAGCATAAAAACTCGGAGGACCGCGCGGATCCGAGAAATCCGCGTGGGCCTCCGAGCTTCTATGTTTATGACATTATTCGTTCCACCATGTGTCCTCTCGCGCGTCCTGTCCAATCAAGTCCGACTGTACACAGAGGAGGAGGAGGAGGAGGAGGAGGAGGAGGAGGAGGAGGAGATCAGGAGATCAGGAGCCTGAAGGTGCCGTCTGACTAGCAAACAGCGCCTCGGGGGACCTCTGATGAGGTCGAAGGCCACGCCGAACGACACGACGACCGTGTCACCGCCTGCGCCGCGGCGCCGCACGACCTGCGCGAGGTGGACCGCGCCGCTGACATGGCGGCCGCCGCCTAGCCACCCTCGCCGCCGCGGCTGGGATGCAGCCTGCGGCCAGCGCAACGCGCCGCCGCCGCCGCTGGGCGCGCGGAAGGACAGCGACAGGGCGCGCTCAGGCAACGCCCTCGCCCGTGTCGCTGCCCTCGCCGCCGCTGTGTTCCTGCGACGCCGCCTGCGCGCTGAGGCGGCCCTGGCCCTCGCGAGGCGTCGCCGCCCCAGGCCGCGGCCTGCGGCGCACCGCCCGAGCCCAGCCCAGCGCGGGCGGCAGGCCCGCAGACGCCGCCAGCCAGCTGCGGAGGCAGTACACCTCGTACCTCCGCATGCTGTCGGTGACGCACCGCTGGCTCAGCGTGAGGCCCGAGCGATACCTGGCGCAGGCACCGCGCAGCCTGGCACCGCGGTGCCATGCGCGGCGGCACCACGCCTCCGCCAGCTGCTGAGCCGTGCTGCCCATCGCCCTGAGGAAACGCCGCCACCTGGGCTGGGCGAGGACCGCCTCCGCGTACGGGACGCAGTGGTCGAGCCAGTCGTTGGCCGCACCGTCGGCGTCGAGCAGCGGCTCGATCCACCATTGCCCCCAGCGGTCCAGCCTGTGCTCCAGGGCCAGTTGCCGCGGCGGCCGTTGCGGCAGGGCCGCCTTGGGCGGCGGCCGCGCCACGCGGATGCCGCGCCGCCGCAGCCGCGCGGCAAAGCCCGCAGGCGCCTCCCTGGGGGCCGCCCCAGCGCCGCCGCAGAGCCGCTCGGCTCGAGCCTGGAGCCGCCGCAGCAGTGCCTGCCTGCGCACTGCCCGTGACTCGGCGCGAGCACCAACAGCGCACCCCGTGTCGGTCAACGCCTCCACGACCTGCGCGTGGGAGTACTGCCAGCCCCACCAGCGGCAACGCCCGCCACCCCAGCCTCGCGAGTCGCAACGCGCCGTCGCAGCACCTCCAGCCGTTCCTGCCAGGACGGCGCTGGCGCCGCGCAAGCGCTGCGGCGCGCCGCAACCTCCGCAAGCAGGCGGTTGGCCTCCGTGCGCCCGCCTCTCGGCGGTACAGGGGCCCCGCGTGTCGCGGTCCCCTGCGCGTCCGCCAGCGGGGTTTCCTCCGTGCGCCCGCCTCGGAGCTCTGCGGGAGCCCCGTGTCTCGCGGTCTCCTGAACACCCGCCTTCTGGGCCTTTTCCGTGCGCCCGCCACACGGCGCTGCGGGAGACCCGCGTGTCGCGGTCCCCTGCACGACCGCCAGCGGGGCCTCCACATAGCCATGGGCCACGACCGCCTCGTCGGCCCCCCCCCTCGGAGCTGTCGTCGACCGAACTGCGCTCGTCGTGCACCAGCGCACCCGTATCCCATGACCTGCCCGTCTTGGGGTCCAGACCACGCAGCAGCCTGTCCCTCCGGGCCGCCAGGTTGCTGACATAGGTGCGCTGGTGGTGCCCTTTGTCGGCGGGCGGCCCGCAGCACGCCTTCTGCAGCCCCCATCGCAGCTCGGGTCTGCACCCACGCGACGCAGACCTCGCAGAAGATGGCGGGCCCCGCGCGCCGCAGCCGATGCCCGAGGTGCAGCGCCGCGCCACCGCCGCCCCCCTCGCGAAACCAAGGGTTCGGCCTCTGCGCCAGCTTGCAGGGCCTGCCACCGTCGCACTGCTGCCGCGCCTCAGCATCCAGGCCCTCGGCGTCGCCCATCCAGCATGGCCCCGCACCGAAATGCGCTATCTCAGCCGCCGCCTTGAGGCGCGCCAGCGGCGTCGGCAAACAGCTCGACCTGACAAACTGCCGCGCCACCGCACTTGCCTCAGCACGGGATCGGCGCCCGCACTCGGTGCACAACATTCCGCGCTTTCCCTGCGCGCGCACCACGGAGTGCTCCACCACCGTCAGCTTCGGCACGGGCGGCGGCGGCGCCGCGGGCACGTAGCGCGCCTCGGGGGCCCAGGCTCCGATGGCCGGACAGCGCTGCATGGCCCATCCGATGAAGTCCGCCACTTGCTTGAAGCATTGCACCTCGATGGCGTGGAACTCCATGTACACCTGGGACACCGCGTGCTGCAAGGCCCCCTGCTTGGCGAACCAGTCCGCCCACAGGCTGCCCGCGTACAGCACTGGGTGAAGCCCCGCCGCCAGGAACCTGTCGACGTCCTGGCGCGCGGGGACCCAGAACGCCTCGGGGCGGCATGGCTGCTGCCGCAGGCGCCTCCACACCGTGGCGAGCACCGACTTGGATCGCGCCAGCTCTGGCCCCTGGCTGCTAGCCTCCTGGGCCAGCGCCAGCAGGTCGGTGGCCACGAATCGCGCCTTTTGCCCCGGGAGCTTGGCGACCTGCAGGAGCGCGCGTCGCTCGGCGCGACGCACCGTCTGCAGGCGGCCAGGATGGGCCCCGAAGGCCGCGCGAACGGGCGCCCCGTTGGAGCCAGGCTGGGCCAGCGACCACCTGCAGCGCCTCAGCTCGGGCATGCTGCTCACGAAGCCCGAGCCATCGATGAACGCAATGTTCCCGCGCTGCTCGTCGCTCGCGCCGCTCCAGTCACCCCAGAGCCTGACCTCCGCCTCGTCGGCCGCAGGCGGCGCGCGCGGCGGCAGCACGGGAGCCCGACCTCATGCGCGAACCCGCTGCAGTCCGCGACCCCCACGCCGCCCGCCTGCAGTCCCGTGTCGCGCATAGTAGCCCATATCTGCTGCAGTCGATCAGGGAGGACGCCCTGCCCCACCGACGACCTATTCGCAACGAAACATGCCGTGCCAAGCTCGCTGCCTCCAGGGGGGCAAGCCTGGCGCGCGCGCAGCAGGGCCTCGCAGTCGCACAGCCCGCGACCAGGGGTGTCCGCCTCCGCCCACAGCAGCCATTGCGAGCGACCCCAACGTCTAGCTGCCCCTGCCTGGTCCACGGCGCGCCTGCCCAGTGGATCCCGAGGCTGGCGGCGGCAGGCCCTTCGGCAACAGCGGCGCCCTTGCCGCCCGCGCGCAGCCTCAGGACCCGCATTCAGATCGGCCCCGTGGGCTGCGCGCCGCCGAAGTGGCTCAGGATCTGCCGCCCTTGCCAGCGGCTAACCCCCTCGACGAGGTAAGCCTTGAGGTCCGACGGCGAGGTGGCGAGCAGGTTGATGCGCTGCTCCTCGTCAGTGACCAGCACCAGGCTAGACCACATGTACCAGCCGATCCTCCAGAGCGCGAGCGTCGTCGAGGCAATGGGGCCGCGCGCCAGCCCCCACGTCGGCTTCTCGACCAGCCGCTGCATGATGGAGGCCCACGCACGCTGACGCCTGCCCAACGATGCCCTCTGCTCCCAGACCCAGCTGGAATACCTGACCATGAGCGCCATTGTCGCCGCGTAGACTGGATCAAACCTCGCGCTGCGCTGCGTGGCCAAGTAGATCGTCGCGCCCGACGGGCCTGGCCGCGCCCCCGCCAGCCGGCTGGCCTCAGCCTGCAGCCGTTGCAGCTCACTGTCAGGGATGCCCACGACGCCCGCGCCGCGGCCGGCGCTAAGGAGCAGCCCCGTGCGCCACAGCACGGCGACCTTGCGGCCAGCAGCACGCTTCAACGCCGCCAGGCGCCCGCGCCGCCGCGCCGGCGCCTTCAGCCGCAGCTTGGTCTGCCGTCGCTGGACCCTGCCTCCTCCAAGGTCATGCCCCAGATTGCGAGCCCAGCGTAGCAGCTGCAAGCCGCGGGATCCCGCATGCTTCCTGCACGCTGCGGCTAGGCCCTTGGACGAGGTCACGTAGCCCGATGTTGGCGGGCTGCAAGATGGCGCCCAGTTGCTTGGCCTCCTCGCGGAAGCGCGTGACCGCGGCCCACAAGACGCCGACGTTGTTGCCCGCGGCCCGACCCACTGAAGGGTGACGTCGTCTACGAGGGCCCTGGGAGTGACGCCCATGCATCAGCACCGACACGAGCGCGCACGCGTGCGTGCATCCAGCCAGCAACCGCTGGTAGGACACAACTTCGTAGGACACCGAGCCGAACGCTTGCAGCCGCCTGGGCTGCCTGTAGAGCTCCAAAAGCCACACCAGCGACAGCGGCATCTTGAGCAGCCGCGCCTCCTGCATCAGGGCCTCGGGGATCACCGCCTCAAAGAACTTCCAGGCGTCCAGGAGCACGGTGACCACCTAATCCCCCAACGCGACCGCTACATCAGAGGACGACCTGCCCGCGCCGAGCCCCCAGATGTCGACGTTGGGGTGCTGCGCGAGCCAGCCCTTAGAGATGTCCGCCCGGCGTCTCGACCACCAGTGCGCAAAAGAATGCATGAGCGCGAGGATGCGGCACCCTCCAGAGGGCTCGAGCAGCCGACGCATGGCGTGCCACAGGCGGCCCTCAGGCCACGGGCCCAACTTCTCTATGCGCATGAAGAGCTGCGCGCAAACATACATGCCGTCCTCGGACAGGAAAGACAGGGCACGCATGCCTATCTTGGCACGCCCCATTGCCGTGCCCGCGGGGAATGACAGCGCAGCCCTCTTCATCTCGTCGACGGTGAGTTCGGGCAGCGCATCCCACTCCTCAGTGGCCGCAGGCCTGCGAGCCTGCGGCAGCCCATGGCACCGCCACACCTTTGCCCGCGGCTGCATCTCCCGATCGCACACCAGGTGCGGGCTCGCGTCCTGCTGCTGGCTACGCCAGGCAGTGACCACCTCCTGCAAGTCCCTGACCTTGGAGCACCGATGGGCGCGGCCAGCTCCGTGGGAGAATGACCCGTTAACCCACTTGACCCACTCCTGTTCTTGCGCCGCGAGGGCCGCTTCATACTGACCGTTCGCATACTCCACGACCCTCGACGCCTGGCCCGCGAAGTCGGCCTGCGCGAACATCAGCATCTGCTGGCCGAAGAAGTCCTGCACCCAGTGCGGCAGGAGCGCCAGCGCGCCGCGGCTGGCGATGATCTTGTCGAGATACGTCGCCGCCTCCATCAGGAACCCCGCCAGCTTGTCAAACTGGGTTTCGAACAGCGGGCAGAGGAGGCTGACGCCGTGGAGTTGGCCACCAAGCGCGGTCCTGCGTCGTGGGGGCCGCCATTTGACAGCGACGAGAGTCGTCTCCAGAGCGCCAGACCTGCCGACGCACTTGGTCTTGTCATGCCCGACGACGTCGCAGCGGTCCAGGAGCTCCTGTTCGACTGTAGCCACCACGGCGCCCCATGCCTCGAGGAGGTGCTCTCGGCTGACGGCTGCGCGCACCTTGGCTAGGGGCCTGCGCCAGTCCTCGACGCCGCGGCTACAGCCCACGGGCGGCACGGGGCCGATCGGCCGCGGGCCCCTCGCCACCCGCACTTGCATCGGAAAGTCCTGCGCGTGCACTTCCATTGCGACGGGCAGGCGCGGCTTCGTCGCGCCGTACTCGTCGACCCGCGGCCTGTCAAGCCTCGGAGCAAGGTCGGCTGCGAAGAGGAAGTAGTCCAGCGTCGACCAGGCCCCAGCACGCGGCCTGCAGGTGTCATCCCCTGCCGCCGCCCACAGCCCACGGACCCCGTGGAGCTGCTGCACAGGAAACTTCTCGGGCCCCATGTTGAAGTCACCGCCCACGACCCAGTCGATCCCAGCTGCGCTGAACTTGGCCAGGTACTTCATGAGAACGGCCGCCACGTGCTGGTTGTCCGCGTTCCACCTCACACTGCCATGGAAGTACGCAGAAATGGCGACGAAGCCGCCCGCCACTCCCCAGTGCACATGGGCGGCCACCAGACGCGCGGCCAGCAGCACGGTGCTGTCCAGGAACAGCGGGCTGGTGACTACGATGTGCGAGCGCGCATGCACCGCCACCCCGCCAGAGGCGCCTGCCTCGCCGCGGGGCCCCTGCACCGCTGGCGCCCAGAGCCCCGCGCACCCGTGGTCCAGAACGGCCTGCTGAAAGGCGGCCAGCCTGTCGTGGTCCTTGGCGCGACGCTCCTGGACGAGGAGGACCACGGCCTCTGCCCGCTCGCAGATGCCCTCGACGCACGGCGCCAGGGACCCCCCCGCCGCCACGCTCGCAGCGAAGATGCCGCTCTTCGCCATGGCGCCAAACCACGCGCTGAGGATCAGCAGGATCCTAGTAAGGCTGGAAGCCCCCGCTGGCCAGCGCAGCGCAGCGGGCGCGCACGTCTGACTCCTCGCCGCCTTCGAGCTCCAGGCCACGCTTCCGCAACCGCTGCTGGAGCTGCTCCACCGACTCCCCCGGCTGCCAGCGCGGCACGACGGCTGAGCCGCTGCCGCTTCCAGGCACTGCAGCCTCGGGCGCTGGCTGGGACTGCCCGTCCCGCTCTGCGCCAGCACGCACCTCTCTCGCGGCGTTGGCGACGTCCTGGCTGGCGCTGGCCGGCTCCTCGGCGGGAGCTTCCTCGCGCCGCGCCCGTTTGGACATGCACAACTCCACGAAGCGCACACCCAACGCGCCTGTGGTACGCTTTTGCGCCTCCGCTGGCACTGGCTGCTCTTCGTTCGAGTGGGCCGAGAGCTGCTGCAGCACGACGGCCTCCAGCTCGCCCACCGTGATGCCGAGCCCGCCGATGACGTCCTGCGCCATGGCTTGGCCCGCAGGCCGCGGCGGTGGAGACTGGGGGGCGCCTGCTGCTGCAGCTGCACCAGCTCGGCCTGCAGCGCCGCCATCTGCTGCTCCAGGAGGTCTGCATGCACCTTTTGCGCGCGCTCAACCTCCCCCACAGCCCGCCGCAAGGCCTCTTGCGTCTTCCGCTTGTTGCTCTCCGCCTTCTCCAGGCGCTCGGCGCACCGCTTGGCCTTGTTGGCGATGGCGTGCGTCCGTGCGTGGAGTGGTTTGCTGGCGAAGAGCCGCGCCTTGGCCGCTGCCCAGTCCGCCGTTTGATCCTTGAGGGCGTGCAGGCCCGATTCGCACATGTGGACCTCGGCGAGCGCCGCCGCGTCGCCAGCGCCAGCGCCCTCGCCGACGTCGACCTCCATGGCCTGCGCCCCGCCGAGCGGCCCGCCAGCGCTGGCAGGCCCACTGGCCTTGGGCTGCTCCTTGAGGCCCGCAAGCTCGCGCTGCGCCTGGGCCAGCTGCCGCCGCCAGGCGCCCCGCCCGACTTCGACTTCCACTTGGCCGCCGCAGGGAGCGGGACGTTCGCCCCGAAGCTCGTGGCATTGGGCAGCCTGCAGCCCTGACACTTGAGCGCCGTCCCCCAATTGACGACCGCTCGCCCTCTCTTGCTGACGCCGGACTTGCACGTCCAGTCCTGCCGCACAGCACCCTTGGCCCGCGGCACGCCGCCAGCCATCTTGCATCCTTTGTCGCCCTCGCAGCGCCTCCAGTGCCCGCCAACGCCAGGAGCCGCCCGCGCGCTGGCACAGGCGACGGTCCTAATCTGAGGGGACAGGCCGCGCGAAACGAAGCTGCCGTGGACTAGCGGTATCCGTTTGGCCCCCGCGGGAACCGCACATCTTGAGCCAAAATGGCTACGGAGGAGGAAAGGACACGTTAGGATAGGATAGGAAACGAAAGGAAAGGAAAAGAAAAGAAAGGAGGAGGAGGAGGAGGAGGACGAGGAGGAAAGGAGGAGGAGGAGCAGGAAAGGAGGAGGAGGAGGAGGAGGAGGAGGACGTCTTGACTCTCTCCCCGCAGGTCGGGCTCTCCGCGCCGCCGTGCCCCGCGCCGCCCCCGCCGCTTCCGCGGCAGGCTGAGGGCCTCGACGCCTCCGCCTCCGCCGTGCTGGGGGCCGTGCCGAAGCGCCGCGCGGCGCCCCGGGCGCCGCTGCCGGCGGCCGGCGGGGCGAACAGCCCACACCCTCAATAGGGGGCCACGTGCGAACCCTACCCCTACTCCCCACGATTTCTGAGGGGGAGGGTGGGGTTCGCATGTGGCCCACACCCTCAACGGCACCGTAACGGGAACTCAACTACCGTAACGGGCGAACAGCCCACACCCTCAACTCTGGACGCCCGAAATGGGTACTGAAAGAATGGGTACGATGCCGAACAGCGGATCTTGTTCATTCTGAACAGGGCTCGCTGTCCGCGCCGCCGCGGCCTGTGTCCATGCGGGACAGAAGGCCGCCTGCCAAACAGCGGCCGCTGTTGGTTCGGGACAACATTTGCTGTTGGGCATTGTACCCCAGCGTCCAAATCAACGGCACCGTAACGGGTACTTACTGACGGGTATTTTGAAATGTTGCCGAAAGGTGCCATTTGGGGGCCTTTTTCTGGCATTGCAGCGTTGCCCACATCGGGAAGGGTTGGGTTCGCTGGGGCACTGGCCAAAGTACCCGTTAGTGGAGTCCCTGTTTGAGGGGCGCTGACACCCATCGCAGGGGAACGAAGAATGGCATAGACACAAGAACCCAGAGGAACGCGCGGATTTCTCGGATCCGCGCTGAACCTCCTTGGCGGCGCTTCCGGCGCCGCCCCTGGCGCGCGGAGCGCGCCCGGGAGGGGGGTCCCGCGCGGATCCGAGAAATCCGCGCGGAAGCCCAGAGATCCAACGCATTGAAGAAATCAAGACGGAAGTTTTTCGCAGTTTTCGGCCTCTGGGGGCCCTCGCTGGGCCCCGGGACCGTCAAAAAGCAGCTCAGGATGAGAAACCGGTCTCGGGGAATGGGTCGAGCCTTCCAGGGACCCCGCATGGAAAAATCATGACATCGGACCTCTGGGAACAACACACACCCATCGGTGGGACGGGGTTACTGGCACGAGGACGAATCCGTTCCAGAGCGCTCCGGAGCTCTCTCAGAGCGTTCCGGGACGCTCCGAGAAGGCACCGGCGCCCGAAACATCCTCCAGAGCCGCCGGCTCTCAGAGATTCTCGGTGGATCCTTAGCCGATGCTCTCCTCGTCTTGGCTTCGTCTGCATCGGGACGATCGAAGCGGGTACAGGCGGGCCGAGGCAGAAGGTCGATCTCGGCTCGGGGAGAGTACCCTAATGTTCTGCGTGCTGGCTGGATGTTTGTTGGGCATCCTGGGGGGGGCACCCTCGGATGCTCTGTGTGTTTGGGCTGGCGGAGGGTCTCGGGTTCCTGAGGGATGTTCCTCTGGCCGAGGTCCGGCTGTACGGACAGAATGGGCATGATGCCCCAACAGTAGTTGCTGCCAATGTTGAACAGGACTCGCTGTCCGCGCCGCCGCAGTCGCTGTTTACTGAAGGCGACAAGCCGCCTGCCCAACAGCGGCCGCCGTCGGCGTTGGGCAACAATTGTCGTTGGGCATTGTTCGGCCACGAGCAGAGGCCGTGGGAGGAGGGGGGAGGGCTTCTTAGAAGCGCCCGTGCTTCTGAGAAGGCGCGGGCCTTGTCTATAGATGTAAGGCCGGCGCCTTCTAAGAAGCAGCCTCCCTCCTAAGAAGCCCTCCCCCCTTCCCCCACCCCCTATGCGCGCCGACAAATTAGACAAATGTTTCCGTACCCATTTCGGGCGTCCAAATCCCATGCCCATGTGGGAGGACGGAAAGGAATTTGGTCTTAGGCGGGGAGACAGCGACCTGACGTGGCGGCTTACACGGGCCGCCAGCGCGGCAGGCTACTAACGTCGGAGACGAGGGCGTTGACGTGCGACCTCACGCGGCAGCTTACGCGCCAATGTCGGCCTATTTGACCCCGTTTCTAGACCTCGCTCAGCATCGCTCATATTCGAAGACCCCTAATCGTCCCTCGCATCCAGCTTTTTGAGGCGCCTTCTTTGGAAGCGGGGGGGGGTTATTGAGACGTTTTTCTTAGACCGAAGCGAGAGGGGTCCGTAACATCAATGCCCCCCGTTGACAGGGGGGTCCCGCACATCAGGTTGCCGCTGGAGGGGGGCTCCAGTTTTTCGGGGGGGGCGGGGGGGGGGGGCGATTGCTTTGAAGGATTTCGAGTACCCGGGGGACGGAGGGGGCTGTGGGCGCGCGCTGTCGGATGGGGCTCTCCCGAGAGCCCGCGCCCGTGCCCGTGTGGCCGAGAGTTCGCGCCCGTGCCCAGATGGCCGAGAGCTTGCGTCCGCCGAGCCCCCCCGTGCGCTGCTCGCTCGGCAGGTGGAGCCGCAGCTCTGGCCGGTGCCGCCGGCGTGGTGGCGGCCGTCGCCGGTGGCGGCCGCGGCGCAGCTGGCCCCGGGGGCCTCGGGCGCCGCGCCCTCGCCGGCCGCCTGCGTCGCAGGGCTGTCCGCGGCGGTGCTGGAGGCGGTGGCGGCCGCCGGCGGCGCGGGCTCCCGGCACGTGGGCGTCGTGCGGGACTTCAGCGCGGCGCTGGGCAGTGCGAGGAGGAAAAAGGTGCGTGCGCATCCGCTGTGGGAGGTGAGCGCGCATTCCTGGGGCCTGCAGTGGGTCCCCTTTGCGGCGCCTCCGGTGCCGCCCCAGGTGCGCTCCGCGCGCCAGGGTGAGGAGGTCCAGCGCCGATCTCGGGAACCCGCGCAGACCGCAAACAGTTGATGTCTATGCCGCTCTTTCCTCTTCCAGCATTGGCAAGATAGCGTGTCCGGGGGTCACGGGCGACGTGGCGGTCGCGGAGGAGGAGCTGGTGGGCTTCGCCGTCGGCGACACCGTTTCCTTCGTGTTGTCCGAGGAGGCGCAGTTCGGCACGAGGATGGCCAGCGCGCTGGAGGCCGAGGACGAGCAGACGCTGCAGAGACTGGCACTGGCCGCGGCGAGGGCGGCCGCCGCCTCCGCGCAGGGCGCGGCAGCGCCCGCCGCGGCCCCGCTCGCCCCTGCAGCGCCGGCCGCCGCTGAGCCTGCCTATGCCAGGGCTGGACCTCAACGCCGTTCTGCTGGACTTCGGCTGTGTTTTGTTCTGCGTTTTGGGAGGGAGGCACCGGAAAACAGGCAGAGCAGAACGAAGCACACAACGAAAGCAGAACGACAAAAAACAACGTTTTGGTCCAGCCCCGGCCTGTGCTCCGCTCGCTGCGGGCCCGCTCATCGAGGAACACCTCAATGGCCTCAGGCGTGAGCTGCCGGAGCCCCGCGCGAACCTCCCGGGTCGGCGACGGAGGCCCCCTCCCTGGCGCGAGGAGGGCGCGCCGGAGGCGCCGCCAGAGGCGCCGCCAGCAAGGGCCCCGGCGCCGATCCGGGAAGTCCACGCGGAGCTCCGGAAATTCGCGCAGGTTCCTGTGAGGAACGAGCAAACAACACACACGGGCACACACAGGCGCACACAGGCACACGCACACGCGCACACGCACACACACACACATACATACATACGCACACGCATACATACACACACACACGAGCACACACACACACACACACACACACACACGCGCACACACACGCACACACACACACACACATACATACGCTCACGCATACGCACATACACACACAAAACCCTACCCACAGGGGGGGTCGGAGGTAGGAGGAGTGGCTGTGGAAAGGGGCGCGGGTTCTCGGACCGTGGGTCTTGGACGCGCGCGCGCGGCCTCTTGTCTAGCCTTTCAACGCCCTGTCGCTGCGCGCGACGACAAAAAGTGTGTGCGCGTGTTTGTGTGTGCGTGTGTGTCTATGTGCGTGTCTGTGTGTGTCTGTGTGTGTGCGAGTGTGTGTGTGTGTTTGTGTTTATGCGTGTGCGCTTGTCTGTGTATGTGTGTGGTTGTGTGTTAGTGTGTGTGTGTTTGTTTGTGTTTGCGTCTGTGTGACTTTGTGTGTGTGTATGTGTGGGCCTGCGTGTGAGTGTGTCTGTGTGTGTCCCTGTGTGTATCTGTGTGTGTGTGTCGCTGTGTGTCTGTGTTTCTGTTTCTGTGTGTATGTATGTGTCTCTGTGTGTGTGTTTGTGTGTGTCTCTGTGTGTGTCTGTGTGTATCTGTCTGTGTCTCTGTTTGCGTCTGTCTGTGTTTGCGCCTGTGTGTCTCTGTATATGAATATGTGTGAGTGAGTCTGTGTGTCTCTGTGTGTCTGTGTGTGTCTTTCTGTCAATGTGTGTTTGTGTGTATCCGTGTGCGTGTGTGTGTCTATCTGTGTGTGTGGCTGTGTGTGTATCTGTGTGTGTCTCTGTGTTTGCCTCTGTGTGTGTCTATGTGTGAGTGTCTCTGCGTGTGTCTCTTGGTGTGTCTCTGTGTGTGTCTGTGTGTGTCTGTGTGTGTATCGGTGCGTGTCTGTGTGTGTGTGTCTCTGCGTGTGTCTCCGTGTGTGTGTGTGTCTTTGTGTGTGTCTCGGTGCGTGTCTCTGTGTGTTTGTGAGTGTGTTTCTGTGTGTGTGTCATTGTGTGTGTCTGTGTGTAAGCCGGTGTGTGTCTCTGTGTGTGTGTGTCTTTGTGCGTGGTGTGTCTTCGTGTGTGTCTCTGAGTGTGCCTCTGTGTGTGTGTGTTCCTCTGTGTGTCTCTGTGTGCGTTTCTGTGTGTCTCTGTGTGTGTCTCTGTGTGTGTGTCTCTGTGTGTGTCTCTGTGTGTGTCTCTGTGTGTGTCTCTGTGTGCGTCTCGGTGTGTGTCGCTGTGTGTGTCTCTGTGTGTGTCTGTGTGTATCTCTGTACGTCTGTGTGTGTCTCTGGGTATCTGTGTGTGTGTGCCTGTGTGTGTGCCCGTGTGTGTGTGTTTGCGTGCGTATATGTCTGTGTGTGTGTCTGTGTGTGCGTCTGTCGGTGTGTGTCTGTGTGTGCGCCTGTGTGTGAGTGTCTATATGCGTTTCTGTGTGTCCGTGTGTGGCTGTGTGTGGCTGTGTGTGTCTGTGTGTGTCTTTGTGTGCGTGTGTCTGTGTGAATGTGTCTGTGTGTGTCTGTGTGTGTCTGTGTGTGTCGATGTTTCTGTGTGTGTGTGTGTCGGTGTGTGTGTGTGTCTGTGTGTGTGTCTGTGTGTGTCTATGTGTGTCGGTGTGTCTGTGTGTGGCTCTGTGTGCGTCTGTGTGTGATTATGTGTGTGTCAGTTTGTGCGTGCGTCTGTGTGTGTGCTTGTGCCTGCGTGTGTTTGCGTGTGTGCCTGTGTGTGGTGTGTCTGTGGTTGTGTCTGTGTGTGTGTCTCTGAGTGTGTCTGTGTGTGTCTCTGTGTGTGTCTCTGTGTGCCTGCCTGTGTGAGTGTCAGTTCTTGTCTGTGTGTGGTTGCGCCTGTCTGTGTGTGTTTCTGTGTGTAAGTGTGTGTCTGTGTGTGTGTTTATGTGTGTGTGTCTGTGTGTGTGTGTTTTTGTCTGTGTCTGTGTGTGGGTGTGGGTGTCTGGGTGTGTGTGTCTGTGTGTGTCTGTGCGTGTGTCTGTGCATGTCTATATGTGTTCCTGTGTGTGTCTGTGTGTGTGTCTATATGTGTTTCTATGTGTGTGTGTCTGTGTGTTTCTCTGTGTGTGTGTGTCTGAGTGTGTGTCTGTGCGTGTGTCTGTGCGTGTGTCTGTGAGTGTGTCTATGCGTGTTTATGTGCGTGTGCCTGTGCGTGTGTCTGTGTATGAGTGTGTCTGTGTGTGCGTGTGTGTGTGTGTCTCTGTGTGGGTGTGTCTGTCTGTGTGTGTTTCTGTGTGTGATTGTGCGTGTGTGTGTGTGTCTGTGCGTGTGTGTCTGTGTGTCTGTGTGTGTTTCTGTGTGTGCCTGTGTGTGTGTCTGTGTGTGTGTGTCTGTGCGTGTGTCTGTGTGTGTGTGTGTCTGTGTCTGTGTGTGTCTGTGTGTGTCTGTGTGTGTGTCTGTGTGTGTGTGTCTGTGTGTGTCTGTGTTTGTGTCTGTGTTTGTGGCTGTGTGTGTCTGTGTGTGTTTCTGTGTGTCTCTGTGTGTCTGTGTGTGTTTCTGCGTGTGTGTGTGTGTGCGTGTGTGTCTGAGTGTGTGTGTGTGTGTCTGTGCGTGTCTATGTCCGTGTGTCTTTGCGTATGTCTATGCGTGTGTCTATGTGCGTGTGTCTATGTGCGTGTGTCTGTGTGCGTGTGTCTGTGTGCGTGTGTCTGCGTGTATCTGTGCGTGTGTCTGTGCGTGCGCGTTCGTCACCCAGCTCTTCAAGGCCGATTTAGACATCAGCACGTTCTGCTGGAACAAGCACATCCACGTCGATTGGCAGGCCTCGTGGAAGCAGGAGATGGAAAAGAAGCAGCTGGCCAGCCAGGGTGGGAAAGGCCCCCCACCCCATGGCAAGGTAAAAGGCCTGCCGACGCCACCTGGCCCAGCAACGGCTCTGCCAGGCAGCGGTGCCCAGGCTCCTCCAGTCGCCACTGGTAGGCGGCCGCAGGCACCCGGACCACCACCGCCCTACGCAGTAGGACCGCCCTCGGGCCTCCCGCTAACCCCCACCCGACTGACCTCAGTCGTCTCCAAGCTCAGTGCACCTGTTCGATGCGCTTTCGTGCCTACCCCCCGCAGCAGGCCGCCCCGTCGGCCTGCTCGCCCCGGCGCGGCAGCCTGCCGCGCTTCCCGTCACCTTCTGGTGCACCTGCTCGGTGCTACCGGGGCCCCACCCTCCTCCGCGGCCGGAGGAGGAGCCGGCCGGAGGAGGAGGCGGCCGGAGGAGGAGCCGGCCAAGCCTTGCCCGCCGCGCCCAGCGCACCTTGCTGCGCACCCCCCCCCTTCGCCCACGGGCGCAGCCTCCCGGCGAGCCGCCTCGCTCGCTGGCCCTGGGGCCGCACCGCCTCCGTGCTGCGCCCCGCGGCGGTCATCTCGGCTGCCCCCACAGGTCGAGCAGCGCGCGCCCTGCCCCTCTTGGGCTGTTACTCGTTGCTCCGCACGCCGCGGGCCATCTCCGGTCCCCTCCTTTGGGGTGTCGGGGCGCCTGCCTTCAGTGAGCTGGTCTTGCCGCTCGCCCCCGGCATTCCCTGCGCCCTCCCTCCCGCCTTCGCCCTGGCCGCGTGGGTTCCGCCCCGGCCCCACCCTGCCCCGCGTTCCTCCGGGAGGAGGCCCTGCCCCCGCCGCTGCATCCCCTGCCCTTGGATCGTCGGCCTTCTGCGGGCCAGTTTGAATCCGGCTCTTTGCCCGTTGCCTCCTCCCTCGCGTGCCCCACCCCGGCGGTGCCTCCCTGCTCCCACCGCTTGCCTGGTGCTACAATCGGGCCCTCGCATGGGGTCCCGGGGTGTCTCGTTGGCCATCCGCGGCCACGGTTCCCGTCGCCGCCTTTTGCCTGGTTTTCATGCCTGCCCATCTGGCGTGTTCGCCCCCTCGCCCCGGCCGGGGCTGTCTCGGGTCGGCCCTCCTCGGATTGCCTCGCAGGTCGACCGATCTCGGCGCCTTGGCCGGCCCTCGCCTCCCCCACTCCGCTCTGCTGGGTTTCCTTCCAGCGCCCCTGGCCCCTCACCTGCGGGGGCTCCTTGGGCGGCCGCCTGGAGGCCAGTGGCCCGGCTGCGCTGCCCGTCTCCAGCTCGCGCTGGACCTGCCACCCCCCGCCTCGGCCTCTGCCCGGCTGCCGCCCCCCAGCTGCTGCCTCGCCGCCGCCGCCGGCCCCCCGCCCCGGCGCCCCCCCCCGGCCGCGGCCTGGCCCTGCCCTGAGCGGGGGCGGATTCCTCTCCCTCCCGCCCGCGCCAGGCCTCCCTTCTCTTCCCGCGCGCCCCGCAGCTTAATTTGCGATTTGTGCGCCCCACGAATGCCGCACCGATGGAGCAGCCCCTTTGCCCAGCCGCCGATGCAAAAAAAAGTGTGCGTGTTTGTGTGTATGTGTGTGTGTGTGTGTTTGTGTTTGTGTGTGTTTGTGTATGTGTGTGTGTG